TTTAGAGAAGAAGATCGGCTTTCGCTTGTGCAGCAGTTGATCCACGTGCATCGTTGCGAACCGGAAATCGGCTGAGCACGGAGGTCGAGGTTTTCTCGTGTTACAAAGCCACGGTTACACCGCGCCGCGGTAACACGTAATGCACGCAGTCAGGTGCACGTAAACTGCAAGCGGCGCGGTTTTTCGCTCTGCCGTGCTCTGTATAATTTGTTCATTATGCCGGTGTTTTTAGCGAGCCACACGATGCGTGAAACAGCGTCCGTTTAATCGCGCTTACGACGTTGAATCGCGAGCCGGTCGATCCGCTGTTCTTCGTAATCCACGCGCGTAATCGTTTCGATCTAAGTATCTGGAATTCTGCTGCATTGGGCGATTGCAGATAGCGCGAGAAAACGAGAGGCGTTAGCGCCCGGGTTTTGCTCGTCGAGCAGATTAAAATGACACGAAACCGTCGGGGATCGATAAAGAACATATCGTAATTCAACGTTGAAAGTTTAACGCGACGTGGGTGAACGAACTTGAAGGAGAAAAGAGACCGTTGAATAATTAAAAAAGGGCATTACAGTCAGGTGAGCGGCCGCTGCTGCACCGTTGCAACGGTGCAACAGAGTCACTGTCGTCCACGGATTCGATCGATTTCCCGGAGTCATTGACCTCTAGCACGATTATGCTAATATCACGCCGTGAGATTCGTTTCTGGCCATTTAACGGCACGACGGACACGCGCGAGACTCATTTTCTGCGCGGCGAGACATGGCAGAACTTCTCGGACTTCCGTTCGGGGAGACTGAAAATTTTTTGAACGCGATAAGATACTGCGGACATTCAGAATTTGTTAACCCCTTGCTGCATAATTATTTTCACAGCTGCCGCGATTACAGGATTTTTATTTCTGATCATTTCTTTGCGCCGCGTCAACTACCGGCGGAACACGAATTTTCGTTGCATACGTTTCCAAGACGTTGACCGGAGTCGCAGTATAAGTTAGGAGTAAGCAAGATAAGTGGAGGTAGATAGTAGAAAGTTAATTGGGTCTAAGGCCAGGACTACGATAGAATAATACATGTTTGTAGCAATTTTCGACCTCGTATCTGCACGTGCAATAACGTTAACTCTTCGAAGTTTTATCTTAATGTGGGATATATTTTAAACCGTTTGGAAAAGTTGAAGTGACTCATAGTTATACAGTTTAATGTTTTAATTAGTTGGCAACGCTACGAACCTACGGTGAACGCGTAAATAAAAAACGAAAGCAAACATTTACAGAAGTAAAAACGCATCGGCAAGTCGTTGACACTGTTACGATTAAAGTTGGCGAATCGTGTGGTACGGTGAATTTTTATCTTTCATAACAGTATATTCCGGGTTATTTGACTTTTTATTTTCTTGAAAATCGGATGCCTCAAAGACTTACGTAAACACGTAATTGGAATAACTAAAGAATGAATTAAGGTATGGATGAACGAGAGGAAGTAACTTCTTGAAAAGAAGTCATTTTTTTGTATCGAGGAGGCTGTAAATAAATTCTACATCTCTATTTGTTGTACACGTATATATCCAAGACGTTGACGATTGTTGTTGGTCGAATGTTTTGGCGCGTCGAATCGGTGCGGCGGTCCAGAAATTTCGTTACCGTGATTAAACGTGAGTTCATTGTTCGAGAAGCGCCTCTATTTTCGAGTCGACGGTGCACGGCTTATTGTCCGAGCGAGGATAATGGTTCTGTTCCCGCTGCGAAATATGCAAATTCGTAAAAACCGTGCGTTTTTCGTTCGCCGGGGTTTTTCGCGGGCGAAAAATCGCGGCGAGAAGCGAGGCAGCCCGTGCCTCGAGTGAATATAATCTGCCTTTTCATCCGCCGACCAGATAATTTCGATTCGCATCGCCGAGTACGCCTGAAATATTTAATCGCTGGCACGGGAACGTCTCTGTGAAATTCGTCGGTTCGCCTGTGACCTGAAAAATGTATTCGCTGCTTTCGCGTGGAGCGACGCTTCGTAATTCGACAAACACGACGTTTTTCGGCTGCTTAAACGATCCGCGATTCCCAACGTGTTTTGCGAACGTGTTCGAAATGTTTTGAGTACCGTCGAGGGCAATCGAGCATAAAGGTTCCAAGGGAAAAAGCAAGCCTGGTCGGCGCAGAATCGGACGAAAACGAGGAGCCAACGCTGCACAGGCCAATCAGAATCGGAGGCCACTGTCAATCAAGTTCCACGAACCGAGGGGCAGAGCTAGTTAGCGATAGTCGACGATAATAGCGAGCAGAAAGATCGTCGTTAGAGCTTTTATCCGCCTGTTTGGCGCAGGGGAGCCTGGCCAAGTGCTCGTTCTTGCGACGATGGCTCCCCGTGGAACGATCGACCACGCTGTTTTAGAGCGCGAATTTTTTCATTTAACGCCGGGACCCGGCGAAAATTACCCTTAAACCTAGGCAAATCACCCTGATTTCCATCTACAAGCGACCTTACGAATTTAGAGCCACGGGAATTCGTAGAATCGTGCAACCCACTTTTTGCTTTCAAGATAAAACACGAGAGAATTCGAGAGCGCGGAGTGACATTTTTATCTTCTCGGACCGAAAGAATCGAGAACGAAGTTCCTTTCTCGAAGAACAACGTCTTTCTCAGAACCGAAGCTTTTTAATCGCGAAACACCGGGTTGTCGCGATATTCGAACTCTGCGCGAGGCAATTTGTCAAAACTGTCGGGGAACGTCTCTGTCGTTCGAGGGTAGAACGAAGATAGGGGTGAATGGACGGAGAAAAAAACAAGGGATCGTTCGTTGTAAAACCACTGCCGGCACAAATATCCATTATCTCGGGAGTTACGGCGACGATGATAACGCGAGCCGAGCACGTGAACCGCCGTGTTTCGCATCTGAAATATTTCCTGAAGGAAAAGTAGTCGCAAAATGTGTCGCGGGCAAAGCGTAATCTTCATGCGACCGAACCTCGCGAAAGGGAAAAAGCTGGCGAGCGTGTTTCGTGCGCTGCGTTCCCCGGATGAAAGATATTTCTCGAGTGGAATTGCGCGAGGTCGCTGCGAAAAATTCAAAAACAGCGAAGCAACCGATAATTTCCAGCAAGCTCCGCGTCCTGGATAATCTGCTTCTGCCTCAAATTTGTTCATATACAAATTTCTTCCGAATTTTTACACGATCAAGTTACCAGGCTCTCGAATTTTTAAATATTCGAGTTTCTAGGCTCCCTAATATTTAAATATTCAATTTCAAAAATATATTCACAAATTTCTAGGCTCCCTAATTCGTAAATATTCAAATCCCTTCATCCCCCACATGCATACACATACATTTTGGTACATATTCAAATTTCTCGGCGCTCTAATCTTCGAATATTCAAATTGCCGGGCGTCGAATTTTTAAACGATGCAGATTTATCGGCCCCTGCAATTTCGAAATACGAGTGTTTCGGGTTTCCTGGTGAGAAAGGATCGCGCCGGTTTATCGGGAAGCGCGGTTTCGTATTTGGGTCCGGCGGGACGAGGATAGAAAATGGATTAAAGAAGTGATTCATGCGTCCCCTGCCCGTCCGCATTACATGCGACTGCAGCCTTATTGCAACACGGAAACTCGAAACGACAGATACAGTTAGAGCACGGCGCTCTCCCGTCACGACCATTGAACTCCTTGTCCCGTGCAGCTTTTGCGGGGACCTGTACGACCGCAATAAATCCGTCGATGCACGTGGAGTCGAGAACCGATCCCACACCGATGCACCGCTCGATGCACCGAGCGACGCGCGCTCGATGCAGCATGCGCCAGAAACGAAAGTTTGCGATGCACCGCTACGGAAACCAGTCTCCGCCCCCGAGAACTTCCCCGATTGCATACGAAATAGCTCGCGGCATTTTCGCGGCTCCCTTGAATCTCGATCATCGATCGGATCTCTTTATTCCGCATCTCTTGACCGAAAGAAATGCAAAGCTGCATCTACTATCCTATGCGATCGAGAAAATAACCAGGAGAATATTCCTCGATTCTACTCCGACTGTACAGTAAATTGTCGCACATTGTTCCTCAGCTTGGAAACGAAAATGGACAATTTGGAAGGAGGAGATACGATTATTCGAGCCTCGCGGCTCGTAGTTGTCGATAATCTGCGACTATAAAAACGAGTCGCAAGGCTCGTATAATCGCATCTCCTCTTCCCAAGTTGTCAATTTCCGTTCCCAAGCCGAGGGACAACGTGAGAGAAATTACTGTACTTGGTTCATACTCTCCTAAACTCTGTCGAAACGTGTTGGCAAATTGTTAGTTTTACGAGCTCCGCTTTAATGCTCCGTTGCGTTCGAATTTTCGGACGCAACACCCATACCGACGCAGTTTATCGATGAAGCGGTCACACGATCGCGCGTTTTATTGCGGAGTGTATGGCAGTTGTAGTAGTAGAAGGGGCAAATTCGGAGCAAGTCCTCGCTCGTAAGAAGAGCGCAGCGTGTGCTGCATCGGAAAATCAATGCAGCGCGGTCCAGGGGTCTTAATCCGACGCGACCGGTCATCGACGTTTGATCCATTTTTCCCAGGACCAACTAGGAAATAAATTTCACCCGTCCGTCCGTCCCCATTACGTTCACCCTTCGACCCCGGGCAACCCTTCCTCCTGACCTACGCTCCACATCCGTTCGTGTCCTGGTTTCCCTCCACCGTTTTGTTCTCGCCCCAAAAACCGGCACATCCGGGCTCTGCGGATAGAAAATATGCACCTTAACGTCTGTATTCCGCGCGTTCGCCTCCCCCCTCTCTGCCGCTTCGTTTCCAACCCTCTTATTTTTCTTGGAACTTTCGGCCGGGCTGACACGAATTTTCGAATCTTGGCTCGCTTTCCGGGGTTCGTCGGACAAACAACGTTGTTGGTCGTTAGGATGCCAGCCGTTTTCTTTCAGCTCGCGATATTAATTAGAGCGAGGAGCGAATCGATGCGGATTCGCGAACGTGGAACTCGTTTTCGTGCTGACGAAGGGATAATTGTTCTGTCGCAGGGATGATCACGGTGGTGAACGGACAGGTCCAGTTCTCCCTATCCGAATGGCAGATCATCGTGACTCATTACGGCGGTCTAGCTGGCCTAGCACTGATCGGTCTACTCCTGGCTGCGATTCTACCTTGCGTGGGGCTGTTCTTTTGTTGCTGTAGGTGCGCCGGCCATTGCGGCGCCAGGAGTCAACCCTTCGACAAGAAGCACGACCATTGCAAGAAGGTGATGCTCAGCATGGTGCTGATCGGCGTTGCGACGATCATACTGTGAGTTCTATTCGAAGTTAATTTTCTCGATACTCGATTAACGAAATAAGCCGACGTTACCTTGAGATCCTTTCAAAATCGATTAAAGTCGCCCCTACAAAGAAATCGGTCTTCGGTATCGACAATCTGTACACCCCCTCCCACGGTAGGAGGAATAAAGCACCGGATTAGCTCCGTTTATCTGTCTAAATCTCATTACGCTAATCCCGGCCTTGTCGGGCTGTCGATATTAAAATTCTCTATTGACGTTCCGATGTCCCATCGAACTACGCAACTGCGGCTGGCTGCGTCGCCGACCCATACGAGTCTATTCTGATACGCAATTACGCGATAGACAATTTTAAAACAATAGAACGCAACGATTATGATCGTGAAAACTGCAGGTTCGGCGTGGTCTGCGCGTTCGTGACGAACGAGTACATGCAGGAGGGCACCAAAGAGCTGCCGAGCAACGTGATGATCAGCCTGAAAGACGTGAAGCTCTACTTGAGCACGACGAAAGACCAGGTGAACACCGTACTCAAGACGAACTTCGACGAGCTCGAGGTCAACCTGAACAGCATCCTGCAGGACAGCGGAAGGATCGTCACCGAACAATTGGCCAAATATTCTAACGCCGTCTCGTTGACGAACCTGAGCGATTTCGTGACTGGTCTGGAGTCCGTCAAGAACGACCTAAGCATCATGCAGACGATCACCAAGGATCTACGGACAAACGCCAGCAAGTTGGCCGCCGGTACTTCCCATACCTCACGCATTTCTTCCTGTTTCATTATGCAGACGATTAATTTTCGTTGCCCGAAATTGTTCAAGACTTGGACGCGTTCGCTACCAGCGTCACTGACGTTCACGATCTTGCACTTTACATGAAAATGATCGAATTCATTTTTCGAACAATCGAGAAGACCGTAGCATTCGTTTGCTAAATTATTTACATTATTTTGATAAAGAAGGTGCGCTGCATAATTTTAACAGCAACGAGGTGCTGGTAGCGGACGTGTTAATCGAGGAAGACAAACGGTATCTTCGGGTTCAATAATTTGTTGCTCTTCGTCTAATGACGCTATGCAAATGTTTGTTGTGGAAGTGGATTCTGTAGACTTTACCGAGTAAACTGACGAACGAATTCTGCTGAACGAATTGTTTCCCGTTGCAGAGGTGCGGTCCGTGAAGAGTGACCTGCTGCACACACTCTCGGCTTGCAAGACGCAGAGCTGCCAGCAAGTCCTGAACGATTACAAAGTGAACGAAATGTCGGTTGATGTCGAATTCGACAAGGTAAACAAATTCCGCTCTGTGCTTCGTTTTCGTGTACAGCGTCGTCGCTGCTTCACAGTACTCGTCTAATCGATCCGTTTCTTTCTGCTTTACACGCATGCAGTACATGGACCGATACTTCCCGAAGGTATGACTTCAACGCCTGTTAAGAATCTACGTGCAGGTTGCGCGGGCAAGTCGATCGGGCATCGCGAAATCGTCGTTTATATCGAGAGAAATTCTTACCTGGACAGATTCGTTTGATTAAATGTCTGTCGAATCGTTTCGCCGAAGTTGTCCATGATTTTGGTAGCTACCGAACGACTAATCCTCGCAGCCAGCAACTCTACTTCTTAATTTCGACCGCTTAAATCGCTTGTGTTTGATTTTGTTCGACCGAGGTTGACATCGTAGGCCAATGGAAGTCGATTCTCGTCTCGCGATCTTTATTTTTGAATTTACGTTCGTCCGGCGGGTATACATAGACGTTTATTACTAGACATAATGAATGCACAGCCATTGGTTTACGAACAGAATTACTGTATCAATTTGTCTGATTCCATGCTCGCCACCAAATAGCTTCAGTCTGTAAGTCGTAAGCTAGAACACGCATGTAGATTTTCGATTCTGTGTTACCGTGTTTCTATGTGTATCGTTGCCAAAAGCGTCTCTGTTAAGTGTGTGATGTTTAGAATAAAAACACGGGACCGGGGTCGCACAACGACGATCTATATCTATCTATCTATCTATCTATCTCATTTGGGTTTTCCCAAGAACATAGAGACTATCTACTTTCCTTTCATTTTCCCGGGGGAAACGAACAAGCATATCGTAGAGAGAGAAGGGATCGAATGCAACTACTATAACTCCCTGCACAGTTTCGTTCGTGATACGCACATTAATTCAGTTCTTTTTTTCTGTTTGCCCCGTGTCTCTTCGAATTACTCTGCATTTTGCTAGCCAACAACAACAGAAACAACAGCTAGTTTGTCACAGTTCACCATCAGTTCGGGATCGTTTCGGATAGTTTCCGTCGCGACACACCCGTTGCCACGTACCCCGTTGTCTCTTCTGATACGAAACTCTGTTACTTCTCCGTAGGAACGATGTCTTAGAAGGCCTATCGAGCATGACTCTGATACTCTTTTTTTTTTTTTAACAATGGAACTTGAATTTCTCTTATGCATTCTCTTTCGATTCGAGACATTCTTCACGTCCTATCCGGCGGACATCGTTGTTTCACGACGATTCTTCTGTAATCCTCTGTTAACACGATGTCTTTTACAGCTTCCGGACGTGACGTCCGCCCTGCAAAACATCACCCAACTGATGCAAGGCAACATCGTGTCAGATGTCAACCAGGGGAAAGAGTCCTTCCTCAAGATACAGAAAGATATTCAGCAAGCGGTGAACCAGACCATTCCCGTCGTCAGCGCCAGCATCGGAAGAGCCAAACTCCATCAGGCCGGTCTAGCCGACAACATCACAGCACTCATCGACAGACTCAGCGCTGACATTGACAAGCTCTACGTTCGTCATCTGGACGTCGCTTGGACTGCTATCGATCAGTATTCACCGTACAGGTAGCTGAATCAAGTTAAAAGCAAATAGATGTCGACGTCATGGTCCTGATGTTTTAGATACTATTTGGGATTCGGTATATCCGGCATACTGTTGACGGTCTTGATGTGTCTGACCTTCGGCCTCTTCTGCGGGATCTGTGGGAAACGTCCCGACGGTTACGGCGACGACTTCTGTAATAAAGGTTCCGGAGCCAGATTCTTGATGATGTAAGAACCCATCCATCGTCGGAGTAAACAGATAAAGCTCTCGATTCGCTTCACACGTTGTTTATCCAGGGCTGTGTGGACCATCTTCCTATTGACGAGCGTGTTAATGGTGATCACCGTGCTCCACATGGTCACCGGTGTCCTGGTGCAACGAGCGATCTGCGAACCTTTGAAAAATCCTAAGGACAACAGAATGTTCGCTCTGGTCGACGAGGTAGTGCAAATCAAAAAAGTACTGTATCCGAAGCAACCCAATGCCGACTTGAACATGAGCTACATTATCACGTGAGTGTGCCGCAGTCGCTACAGATAAGTATCTGTTGCTGTCTTGCATCAACGATTGCGATCTTTCGTTGCAGAAAATGCCATTTGGACGACACCCTGTACAACGTGTTGAAACTGCAGTACCTGTTCGACGTGAATTCGCTTCGAGATTACGCGGGTCGCAACGATATCAACAATACCATACAACAGCTTTGCCAGAAGATCAGTCTGTCGCCAGGTGTGGTGATCCTATCCGATAGTGCCAAGTCGAAGCTGAACGATCTGGCCAACAGCGGGCTCGACGAGATCAAGTTCTATCAATTTGCCGAGATACTGGCGAAAAACATCACCAACATCAATCTGATGCACCTGGCCAACCAACTAAGAGACGTGACCGGCAAGCTACCGGAGGACCAAAAAAGCATTCGAGATAGGTTGGAAGCGATCGCGAGTCGTTTGGAAGTCACTCACAGAGAGCTCGTGACGCCTATGGCGATGCTGGGCAAGGAGCTCAGCAAGAAAGCACTGACACTTCAGGAAAACATCAAGTTCAATCACACCTCGATGAAGGAGGCTATCGACGATCTTGTCGTAGAGGTCACAAATTCGCAGGAGTTCCTGAACAATAACGGACCGGAATACGTTAAAAGTGTAAATCATTCGTTGACTAGACATTTAATTAGTTGGAAGTTCGTCCATCGTCCTCACCAGTTAGTTCATCTCTTCTGCGTTTCTCTTTGCAGCTAGCAACCAAATTCGGACAGTCCTTCATCAGTCAAGTCGATCAGTTTCTTGAACACATCATCGCTAGCGCGAACCTCGACATTGGAAGATGCGCTCCCGTTTCGAACGCGTACAATGCTACGCTGGTCGCTGGGTGCAACAAGATCTTGGATCCATTTGTAAGTACATCTCTTGATCTTAATCGCGAGGGAGTACGATTTATGACGATGCCTGTCTGTTCGAATTCTTCGTAGAACGGTTTCTGGGCGAGCGTCGGCTGGTGTCTGATCCTCTTCATCCCGACCATAGTACTCTGCGTGAAACTGAGCGCGTTATACCAGAAATCGGACCCGTATCCAGGACCCCTAGTCGAAGCGTAAGTTTTCCTCGCTCTCGTAGCCGTTAAACCCCCCCGAAAACTATGTACGAAGTGTCTCGCTAGATGTTCCCGAAAAGTGTAATTACGTGTATCTGGTGCATGTCGATTATTGAGAAAAGAAAGAAAACGAAAAGCCCCTCGTCGCAGCTGTACCTGTGTAAAAAGCAGAAACTAGAAAGAACCAAACTGTGTGGAAATCGGTATTGAAATTGGCACGTAAACCGTCCGAGGAAAACCAAGAAACAAGAAAACTCTCATTATACATTCAGACATTCGCTTCTATGATTTCTCCGCTAATTTTCTTGCCAGCAGAAACACTGAGCACCCTTCTCTGTAGACAAACTGTTCAGTCTTCTATCTCGACCTATCTTGGTAGTTAATCGAGCTTCCATATACCCGTAGCATGCACTCACTCGAGCTTCGTAATGATCTTTTTATTCATTTTTTCTAGTCAAAGCATGATTCATTTTCTACTCTGTCACGTTAGCGAGTCTCGAGGTTGCGGCGACAAATATATATTTTTGTATGGTCGACGATCGATCTACGACCGAGCCTATTCACTTTCAGTTTTCGTCTATTCGGTGTGTCCGTGTGCTGCTAACTAATATCGTTTCCGTCTTCGTCTCCGTTGTGCGCGTCTTTTTTTTCCTGAACGTATCTGAAAGAACAGCGTGAAGCAACATACTCTTCGTGTCTGCGACTCGGTTGTCTCGCGGTCGTGGATCTCTCAGGATCATTGAGACAGTGTGTCGCGTTCGATAGTGATCCACGAGTCTGTCGTTGAGTTTAGACTCTGGGTCTTACGCAATCGAGAGAATGTTATTCGAACGATCGAAGACAGAGACTTTTTATTTGATGCAACTGTCGTAGACTATTTTTATTTTACGTAGAGATCCACCGTCCAATGGTTGCACATTAAACTTCGAGCTTAATTTTGATAGAAATCCTTGTGTAAATATTAGAGAACTTTCTTTCTATCTGTCGAACGATTAGAGTTCAAGATTTGTTTGAGACGATCGAGTCGCAGACCGACCCGCAGTAGTTTATATTTAAGTTTAAAGTAGCTGTCTAATGTGTGGAATGGTTGTTGGAATCTAACCGCTAACACGCTCCGTTCCAGTGAATATTTGTATGACGCGTACGCAGACAGGGATAACATACCCCTCGCTCAGTAAGTATACAACGACAACAGCCAAATTGCTCGCATGCTGTATTCTGTGTTTGTTGTATGTGTCGCATGTTAACCCGAAAGCTATGAACACCTAGGATCTCTTTGCTACACTGTTCCAGAGCTGCATGCACCCCTAACTATATACAAACATGCTTTTCGGTTAAGTGCCGTGTCGGAAACCGCGTCGACTGAACTGTTGACCTCCTCGCTCCTCGCACTTGCGTCCTACGAAACACATCCTCATCGAAACACTGTGGGACTGCGAGCAATCTTTATCCACAATTTTTACAGAAAAATGACATTTCAATCCGTTTCCTCATCGATGGAAGATCCATCGACCGCAAATCCCACAGTATCAATTTTAACATCTAGATGTGTTAAAATTCTTAGCTACTTCTCTGGCTTTCGATCTTCGCCTCTGACACCTTCTTCAGAAATTCGAATTTTTGTATAGAACGATCTACACCCCGACCGGTGCTCTCGGCATAAATTAGAAGAAGGTGTCAATAGCGTAGAGTATGTCGCGCAGCATCTTCTCAAAGCTTCCAAGTGACTAAAAAGTACAGCTTCCGAGTCTCTTTTTTTTCCTAATACGCGCAAAACAGCATCGACTACGGCGACGTGTGTTCTTTGAGCTAGCTAGGACACTAATGACCACAACGTAACACGCAGATACAAGCTTCTAGCAAAACAGTACACTGATTTCTCTAACTCGCATGACGAGTGGCCAGGCGGGCCGCGATTCCTTATAGAACTAACTAGACGATTTTTCGTTGCAGTGTTCACGACAAGAAGTACGCGTCTCACAGCAGACACCATCCGTCTGCGTACGTGGAGAGCTACGACGGTCCTGCGGTCGGTTACGAGAGAGAGAGGATCGCCGATGCCCATCAAAGCACATCCCATCATGACTCTAGATATTCCGATTTGGCGCCGAAGTAAGTTCCCTTTCCGCAATCGATCGGGATCTGTTTGAAATCGACACCTTCCAAAGGAACAGGATCCTGAAGTACTTAGCGATTCGTTCTGCATTCGACGCTTCCCTAACCCTGTTTGATATCTTTCGATCCTGTTCCTTCGTAGAAGTTTGCTCTCGCCAATCATCCTTCAATCATCGTCTCTCACTGCCCGGGACGAATTTCTGACCCAGCGAAGCACAGAACGCGTTGTTGGGGGTTGCAAAAGTACCTCGGGGTGGGGGGGGAGGGGGATTGATCGAGGGTTCAACAAATCGTTGAACGCGTTGTCAAACGATCCCGGGATCTTGTTGTTCTCTTCCGTCGGTTCACGATAGTTGATCTCTGGTTTGTTTTGCAGTTCCACCCCCGCGTGTCGCAGCCACGCACCCACCGCCCCCTCCGAAACAGAACCTCGCAATAGAATCTTTAACGTAACGATAGAAGCGCAGTAAGTTAATGCATACTTGCATTCGGATGCACCGGCAGAGTGTCCTCTTCCTCTCGAGTTCACCTTTCATGTACGCGCTCGAGACACCCAGTCTTATCCGATGATAATACACACACCTTACCCCCGAGTTTCGAATATTTTTCACTATACTTCTTTCACATAGTCGGTGAGCAGGGTTCCCACTCATCGCGCGACACTTTTTCTATCTTTCTCTCTCTTTCTATCCCTCCCTCCCTCCCCCCCCTCTCTCTCTCACACACACACTTTCTTTCTCTCTTTCTCTTTTTCTCTTTCTATTCTTGCTCCTGCGGCTCTCCAACACGCTCAAACATAATCGAAGACGGGATCAAGTTCAATCTGGCGGTTCTTGGAGTCTGGTTGCTTCACTCCCCCGCATTTTCTCAAGTCACCAGAAGTCGAACTCGAACACTCTATCGCTTTGAACTCATGCTGCCGGGCTCCAAGCGACGAATTTCGATTCAGTTAGGGGTGATTGCTAAGTTCAGGGGTCGAGGAAAGGAATAGATAAATGGTGTCTTTGACACGTCGACTGCTGGCTCGGCGAATATTCAACGAAGTTAACCCCTTGCCCTGTAATACCGTGTCCAACTCGAGAAGATTTGGAACAGAGCCCATTTAGATATGGATGTTGTCCACGTTTCTCGAATCGAAGTAAAATCCTATTCTTCTATCATCGATTTGTTTAAACGTTCGAGTTAAGGTTGGCATACAATAAATATAAATTTTCTTTCTCGTGTAGGAACTTGTTAGCGTCAAAGAAGTGCTAATCAACGTAGCTGCGAAAGAAGTCGTAGTGCAAGGGGTTAAAGCGATACATTCGATGAAGTCAAAATTGAGAAGTTAGTGCCGATGTTACTGTCTCGATCCTTTTACAATTTGTAGATCGTATGCGAGTGTAGCGTGCACGGTAACAGGTCCGGAGAAAGTTAGTTAGGAGAGCTGTGTACGAATCGAACTTGATCGGAGACAGAACAGCGATTAGAAACAGCATTCTCGACAGTAGCCAGACGGAAATGCCACTTGATCCCGTCCGCAAAACTCATGCAACCCCGTTGGTCACGCTTTTTCTCCCGGTTATTTCCAGGTGAGTGGGAACCTTGCGGGGGGGCAACTTCCCGCGTCTCTCGATACGCCTCTGCACGTAAGTCGCAAGACCGATTGTTATCAACTATGTCTCCGTACTTCGTATAAACTTTCATTTTTCTGTTACGTTTTTTTTCTTTTTCGACTGGTTATTCTGCCGCCGCAAAAGGGCAACGTCGCTTTGTCTCGGCTGGAGCTTCTCAAAACGCGTTTCGAGAAACGGGACAAACGAACTGACGTGTCCGATCCTGCCGATTTACGATCTATCGCGCTCGAAGACCGCGGGACAGCATGCTTCGAGTTTCGTAAAATGTTGCAATTTTTGCTCGATGGAACCGCCGAAATAACCGACTTTAGTTTCGCTTGCGGCCAGCTTCGTCGTGCGTTTGCTCGCTAAAGGCATTACACGCTCTCTTTCTCTCTCTCTCTCTCTCTCTCTCTCTCTCTCTCTCTCTCTCTCTCTCTCTCTTTCTCTATTTCTCTCTGTGGCAGCAGACACGTTCGATGTTGACAGAATATTTTCTACTTTTTCTTTTCTTTTTTCGTTATTCCTTGTTCGAGTCGACCCACGGTGGTGCAGACCACGTTAAAAGGAGACGTTTGTCGTCTGATTTAATAGGATCTCGGTGTGTTGATTACAGAAACTGGGACTTCCCTAATGGCGGTCCTCCTAGGTACCAACCCGCCGCTGCTGCTGCTCCTCTGCCCCTGAGCACGGAATACGAACGACCGCCTCCCTATTACTATCCTGGGCCTGGGTGAGTTTATCAATGGCTTTTCCAACACTCACTGTCGATGGAACAAATCTAAAACCCTGCCACAANTTTCTATTCTTGCTCCTGCGGCTCTCCAACACGCTCAAACATAATCGAAGACGGGATCAAGTTCAATCTGGCGGTTCTTGGAGTCTGGTTGCTTCACTCCCCCGCATTTTCTCAAGTCACCAGAAGTCGAACTCGAACACTCTATCGCTTTGAACTCATGCTGCCGGGCTCCAAGCGACGAATTTCGATTCAGTTAGGGGTGATTGCTAAGTTCAGGGGTCGAGGAAAGGAATAGATAAATGGTGTCTTTGACACGTCGACTGCTGGCTCGGCGAATATTCAACGAAGTTAACCCCTTGCCCTGTAATACCGTGTCCAACTCGAGAAGATTTGGAACAGAGCCCATTTAGATATGGATGTTGTCCACGTTTCTCGAATCGAAGTAAAATCCTATTCTTCTATCATCGATTTGTTTAAACGTTCGAGTTAAGGTTGGCATACAATAAATATAAATTTTCTTTCTCGTGTAGGAACTTGTTAGCGTCAAAGAAGTGCTAATCAACGTAGCTGCGAAAGAAGTCGTAGTGCAAGGGGTTAAAGCGATACATTCGATGAAGTCAAAATTGAGAAGTTAGTGCCGATGTTACTGTCTCGATCCTTTTACAATTTGTAGATCGTATGCGAGTGTAGCGTGCACGGTAACAGGTCCGGAGAAAGTTAGTTAGGAGAGCTGTGTACGAATCGAACTTGATCGGAGACAGAACAGCGATTAGAAACAGCATTCTCGACAGTAGCCAGACGGAAATGCCACTTGATCCCGTCCGCAAAACTCATGCAACCCCGTTGGTCACGCTTTTTCTCCCGGTTATTTCCAGGTGAGTGGGAACCTTGCGGGGGGGCAACTTCCCGCGTCTCTCGATACGCCTCTGCACGTAAGTCGCAAGACCGATTGTTATCAACTATGTCTCCGTACTTCGTATAAACTTTCATTTTTCTGTTACGTTTTTTTTCTTTTTCGACTGGTTATTCTGCCGCCGCAAAAGGGCAACGTCGCTTTGTCTCGGCTGGAGCTTCTCAAAACGCGTTTCGAGAAACGGGACAAACGAACTGACGTGTCCGATCCTGCCGATTTACGATCTATCGCGCTCGAAGACCGCGGGACAGCATGCTTCGAGTTTCGTAAAATGTTGCAATTTTTGCTCGATGGAACCGCCGAAATAACCGACTTTAGTTTCGCTTGCGGCCAGCTTCGTCGTGCGTTTGCTCGCTAAAGGCATTACACGCTCTCTTTCTCTCTCTCTCTCTCTCTCTCTCTCTCTCTCTCTCTCTCTCTCTCTTTCTCTATTTCTCTCTGTGGCAGCAGACACGTTCGATGTTGACAGAATATTTTCTACTTTTTCTTTTCTTTTTTCGTTATTCCTTGTTCGAGTCGACCCACGGTGGTGCAGACCACGTTAAAAGGAGACGTTTGTCGTCTGATTTAATAGGATCTCGGTGTGTTGATTACAGAAACTGGGACTTCCCTAATGGCGGTCCTCCTAGGTACCAACCCGCCGCTGCTGCTGCTCCTCTGCCCCTGAGCACGGAATACGAACGACCGCCTCCCTATTACTATCCTGGGCCTGGGTGAGTTTATCAATGGCTTTTCCAACACTCACTGTCGATGGAACAAATCTAAAACCCTGCCACAAAGGCCCCTTTAATTTTATTCTTGATTCCAATTTGGCCGTTCTTGTGAATTTTTCTTCCAACAGTGACGGAGACTCCATATATCGATGCTTTACACACGATTATAAAACCATTCACAAGAGTTTCGAATGTTTGCAACTTTCAAAATTACTTTGAACCTGCTTCCTAACTTGTCCGAATCTGTGTTCCACTGACAGTGCATCCGTACCGAGTCGGCTTAGAAGACTCATTATATTAGATAGTGTCAGTTTAGAAGTACTACTACCCCTGGCAGAAAATGTTTGATCGTGAACATGATCGTTGACAGTACCATTTCATCGGATATTGAAAGTAGTATGACAAAGCGCTAGAATTATCGAAAAGATTTCGTCAATGCAATGCGACGATCGAACTCTTTGTGTTTAAATCGGCGTTCAACTTTCTCGTTTCGTTCGTTCCACTTTGTTCCGAGTCAATACGTATCGTTCTCGCGCTATACGGTGAAAAAGAAAACAAAAACACGCAGCACGACGCAACTTATTCTCTAGCAATTTCCAGCACGATCGAAACCAAGATAATTGTTGTGAAAAGAAAATGAAAGCTGACGCGTTTCGTTTACGGGGTTTGATTCGCGGGATCGAACATCTTTTGCCAGGGGTGCGCAACGTTCTGTTTTTCAAACGCTAAATAATCCTGAACTTTTCTAAAGTGCTCGTGGACCAGGCAGGAGAAATGTGAAACGCAGTGGAATGTCGAAAGATTTTTTTCCAGGGACAGAAATTAGGAAACAAGTGCCGTGGCATGCACAAAGGTAGCGCTGAGTAGCGTGGCTACCCACAGTCTCACCCGCAGTTACAAAAGGACGCTCAAAAAGAAAGAGAAATCCGGATGCAAGCGAGACTATGTTTAAATAAATAAATGGTCGCGTGCATTCCCGGTGAGCGTGCCACGGACCGTGCGAACGGAGCGAATTTAATTCAGTTTAAAGACCAACTTTGATACAGACTGAGGTAGGCTAAAAATCAGATGGATCCTTCGGCGAGCGCGAGTAGTGTGAGCTATGCGTGTGCGATTTTATTCCTGTTCTACCCTGTTTCTATTAGTATTATTTAACGAAAATATCCGAGTGCGAGAGATGCGTGTAAAAGAGAAAGAGAGAGAGAGAGAAAGAGAAAGAATGTGATATTCACGTCGAATAGCCACGACCATATTTTTGTCTTGACCGTCTCCGTTTATTTTACTCTGCTCGTTCGTTTTTATCACTTGACTGATCTTCGCCGTTTTTTGTTCCTTTCCGACGTAAATTCCCGACTCCGAGTATCATTTTTCCGAATCGACGATTCTCGCAAATCCTTCGTTCTCCCTTCCAGCAAGAGAGTACAGTTATCGAAGCACTAAATCAAACACTTTCACGCACACGACACTCTCGTTCGATCCTCCTGCAATGGCTCGCAAGAGTCAAAAAGCACCACCCCGATCTTTCGTTTCTAGTTTAAACAACGAGCTTGTCGACGCCAGCACACGAAGCTGCCACAATCCCCGACTGTACTCTCCCTCTCCTGTCCAGTATTAAGTTCCGACTTGTTCCTCGCGAAACGATTCGTTGATAACGCGCGTGTACATTCAGCCGCTTGTGTCTTATCGATTACTCCCGTGTTAATGGTTTTTGCGTGAACTACCTATCGGAGCAATAACGACGGTCGACAGACCGATCACGATCGACAGTAGGCCGTAGACCGGACGCTCGCGCGATCGAAGGATCAACGTTCGATCCTCTAGCATTAGAAACCGTTTTGTAAAGCGTTCACCGTTCCGCAGGACCACCTTCGATTTCCTCCGAAAATCGACTCGACTCTCTGTCAACGAATCCTTCCCGGCTATTTTACGAGATCTCCCCGAGTCACGTTTTATCATTGTCTCGTTCTACTATCGGTCCTGGAACGGCGATCGCTGATCGATTCTCAGTGTCTTGTGAAAACGCGCCCGACACGGGCTAGTTTCGCGCGTCTGTCGTTAAGAGATCCTTTCGTAGACCTTCTGTTCACGTCGAATGATACTGCCGTCTTGGGAATAGAACCTTGTTGCCGGCCGGTTTCACACGTCGGCCGGCATCCGGCAGCCGTTTTGCGAGTCGTTTTCGGCTTCCGAGAACCCTTGTGCACCGATCAACGCCATATTTAAATGCCAAACGACGTTCTCCGCGTGGTCCACGGGGCTTCGAGGATAGGAAAATCCCATGGGCCATCGTGATCGACCTTGCTCCCTCAGAGCCTGCAGATACCAGCTTCCGCGACCGACCTCTGCACGCGTCTCGACTCCGAACTCCAGGTAGCATACTTAAATCTTTAGCAAGAGTTTCGTTCCTCCAGATTCTTGCCAGAATCGGGCCATCGAATGATCGAAACGAACGAATTTCGTGTTCGATGGAACAATGGAAATGGTACGATCCTCGCCGGAGAATCGTCGTTCGGGTGCCAAGGCTTCGAGTATTCGCTCGAACGTTTGGACGGTGGAGGCTGGTCTCTCGGCAAGGTCACCGCTACGAAATACTCTATGTATATGGTTCTTTAAGTAGACGTTTTTTCGTACTATTAAACTTTACCGTGTAACTCACCGTGAGCTCTTTGAGGTTCCCGCGTCGCATAGCGGTTCTAAAGCGTTCGAGTCTACGCGACGCGCGAACGAAGAATCGAGTGCAACATCCGTTTTTGAGCATCCTGACGCGTCGGAAGATGGTTTTCAAGATCCTCTACCACCGGAGCAGAGAGCCGGGCAATGATCGATCGAGATCAAAGTTCGCAGTTTTATCGATTCACCCACGGTTAGGTGGAATCGATGTATTTCAATCGTCCGTCTACTCGACGATGGAATATACACGTTTCAATCGTCGGTCGACTCGATGAGATACTCGATTCGGTGAACCTCTCGTGTCGAGTTGGTATCGAGAAAATTGGAAACTCGATGGTCGGATACGATTGTTAATTAAGTGATCACTGCCGTAGAGAACCTATTCGACACGGCCGCTGTCCTTTGCGACAGCGTGTTTTAACATTTAACACACTTACACACTGTACGGTAGATTACGCCGCCCATGCTGACACGGTCTGCGATCGACCGCTTAGCAGATTGCCAAAACAAAAAAATGATAAAAATGTGTTTGGAAAAAAAGCGCAAAAAAAAAGGAGAACGAAAGTGAGAGAAGAGAAAAGAGTACTTCCCCCGTATTGTATCGACACGTGGGAGCACAAAAGATCGTTGCGGTGTTTTTTCTAAGGAGGATAAGGAGTAAGTGAGATTGGCGTGAGAGTAAACATAGCTCGTAGAGTGAATGCTAGATAGAGAGCAAAAGAGAGAGAGAGAGTGAGAGTGAGAGAGCCTGCGCGCGAGGAGATGATGATTTCCGCTCTATCATTATCGTATTTACATACAATGTCTAGCATAGTGAAAAATAAGCTACGTTTTTAGCGTTAAGCGTCGACGTTCAAAACGGACACGCAAAAACAGTATCGTCGTCGTCGTACGTCGTACGTCGCTGTCGTCGTCGTCGGGGACCCGAGGAACCGCGATCGTTCCCGTTTCTTCGTTCCCCTAATCTCCCCAGTTTCTCCGTTCTCGAGGATCATTTCCACGCCTGGAGAAGAGACCCATGGAAGAGGAAGACCTCCTTCAAGATCCAGTTGTGCAGCACCCAGACGCAAGCCGGAGAACGAGTGCTGACCGACGATGGTCCGAAGCTGTGCGGACTATGAAAATTTCGAATTTCGTGTGCCATTCACGGCACCGCGAAAACCCTCTTCTGGTGCTATTTTTATAAAGATGGAAGTCGGTGTGCTGGCACTCCTTCTCCGCGCTGTCAACGTGGCGTCTGGCTCGAACGGGACACGAACTGCTAGGACGTAGGACTCGTTTTACAGCTGTCTGTACGAAACTGCGTGACACGTGTTAACGATTCGTTCGTTTGCAGGGTGGACGTATGTTAGACGGGGTATCCAGCGTTCGTGGAATCTTGTTCGATGATTTAGAAATCGGTTCAGGCTGAAAGTAACGTTTTAATAGCGTCCCAGAAGTGGTCTTGCCTATGTTCGAAGTGTTGCCACTCTTCGATCTTCGCTAATTGGGATCCCAAAATTGCAAGGAGACGCGCGACGCTGTTAAAATCTTGTTAGAAAAGATTTGAGACATCAATTTCTTCCAGCCGCGTTTAGGAAATTGAGTTCGGATGATTCTAACCGATTGAACAAGATTCTACGGATGCTGAATGCTGCTGTCTCGTGCCACCCTGGTTTCAGCCCGCGGTGGTCGGAGGCTCGCCCTAATTCTAAGGAGGAACATTTAGTTTCCAGAACTAAAAGCTTACCAAATAGTTGCGAATGTTTTGAAAGAATAGCGCGCGAAAGATATTTTCAAGAAGTTTCAAAGGCGTAGCGTTTTCAGAGGTCTAAGATTGCGTTCAAAGGCTCCGACTACCGACGGTTGGTACTAGTTTCGGACGGTTTCGCGACGTATGTTTCCGTTCGGGGGTTCTCTTAAATTCTCTGCTCAATAATTCGGAGCGCCCATGACGTTCGAGCCGAGCGTTCTTCTACGTTTCTTTCGCTGGACTTCAGCAGCCATTCCACCGGAAACTCGGATTCTTGGAGTATCGCGAGTGTATCGTTCTCCGGACGTTTATCCAAGAATACGTTTCCGTTTCTGAAGAACGTCGGATATATATGTATATGTATTTCGATCGGAAAATGTGCAAGTACGCGAACGTGGTGTACACGCCATCGACTATGGTGTTTTTACGATTCACCGTTTGTGTTTGTTAAAATTAATTATTATTGATATTACGATTATTATTATTATTATTATTAATATTATTATTATTATTATATTATTATTATAAAATGAGTGTATCACAGTTTAAATATATCTATTTTATATTAAATCATCAGCGGCCGCCGCGACCTCCGCGACTCGTCGTCGTTCGTTCATGGAAATCATTGTGTCCGGGCTCGTGCGAAACGCATTAACAATGTCATATTGTTTGATCGGTAGATAAGGCCACTCCTGGTCGATACAATTAACGATAACGCCCACTTTAGAACCACTTCTAGTCATCAACAATTGATGCGGTTATCTTTACCCCATTTACGCATCACTCGGATAATTTGCTCCACTTGAGAGTTCGAAGTGTTTTTCAGGAGTTGTATCACCTCGGTCAAAAGCTCCCTGAAATCAGGTTTATCGTTAAACAGCTTGCACACCGATTCCGTGTAGCCGTGCATCATAGATCGAACAAAATCTTACTTTGGCTGCTTCTCGGCTACGATGTACTGAAATGTGCCGCAGCATGCGCCGCGCTTTCCTTCCCAATTTTCAGGGCTCGGGTCCATTCTTTCCAACATGTCGAAAGCCTTCGCCGAATACCAAAATTCGCCGACCTCGTAGCAATCGTTCGCAATTAATTGCAATAGATTGAACGACTCTCTGGACGTGTCCATTTTCAGGTACAGATTCCAAGCGAGCTGGGGCTTCTTGTTCATTATATCTGGCGAAGTACGGTAGGTGAAACATTACAAAAGAGAATTGGTAAAAACGTTCTGTTACGTTACTCGTAACTTATCAAAAATGAGTCGATTCAGATTACCGTACAAAGATGTAACGAACAACAACGTGGACTTACAGCAACGGGCTAGAAGGCTGATGTAAATGTAGTCGTTCTTATACTTCTCGTTTCGAATGGTCAAGAAAGCTTCCTCCGCTTCCTTGAAATAGCCGGCTGCAGCCTGAGCCTGGGCATAATTGAAATTGAAGTAGTCGTAGTCCTCGTTGGAGAAGTAAGTCTTGATCGTGTTCAGATACATCAGAACGTCTTCGAATTGACGCGAGAGGAAGAAGGAGGAAACCATGCACTGTCTACCGGGTATGGTGTCGCATTCCGACGCCGATTTTCCAACTTGTTGAAAGTACTGATGGGCCGTTTTTATGTTTTCCCTCTGAAAAATATCATAAGCATTTAATTCGGGCGGTCGTTTTACAAGATTTCGTTGACCAAAGATCCCTACGGAATTAGTTTCTTGCCCCATCACGGCGTTCACTATCCCTTTTAAAATGTACTCCTGTGGAACAGCTGGCTCGAGGTCCTTGATCAGCTCGTACGCCTCCCGAACGTCGTCCTGCTTCAAATAGTAGATCACAAGATTTAGTCGAGCCTCGGGAATCACGTCCACCAAGTTCGGCAAAATTTGCAGCGCCCCTTCTCCGCCTTTGAACACCTACGAGCAATTCTCGTTCGAACGTAGAAACGAACAATTTAATCGTTGAAACTGCTCGCAACTCACGACCGTATTGTGGCGAATAACATCGTGGCTGAAGCTCAGCGAGTTCGACATCTTGTCCATCAGCTGTTTCATCTCGTTCTGCGCGGCGGTCCCATTGTACAGGCGAAAAGTGTTGCAAGCTTTCAGATTGATGGCGATCGCGCTGTCGGGATACTTTTGCAGGTACACCTGGAGAACTTCCTGGGATACCTCGTGGTAGTCCAGCTTGTAGTAGCACAACGCGACGTACACGTTCAATGCGAAATAGTCTCTGCGAACATGGAAGCGGATCAAGATTATCCGGCATCCTGCGGAATTTTATATATGGGAAGCTGCAAGAGTTTATGCTATTGATCACGGTGTTTAGAACATGAACCGGAGTTAAAGGAAGGACGAGGAGAGGAAGGGGGTACCTGGTATCCTCTAAAACCTTAATCATGCGTAACGCCTCTAAAATTTCAACGTTCCAGTCTTCCTCGATACTAGCAGAATCGTCGCTGTCGGAGTCCCTAGGTAAACATTTCGATTCAGGCATCGCAATTTCATCGAAACTGCTCGCGCCTTTGCTGTCCGACAATGAGCCGACGTGCAAACGTTTCGATTATAATCTAAACGTCTCCGACAGCCGCAAACGAGAGAACGCGGTGATAAGAACCTGTTCTCCAGCAGAATCTTCTTGTAAACGTCGATAGCTTCCTGGTAATGAGCTCTCAGGTAGTGAACGGATGCTAAACTCAACTGGTCCTCTATGACGTTCTCCAGTTTGTTGTTGTACTCGACAAATTTCGAGTCGTTGTCCATTTTATGGGCCAAGTGGAACAACAGCCTGTTCTTCAGTTTACACTCCGGAGCATCTTCGAGAACTCTCTGAGACTCAGGGTACATGCCGAGGTAGAAGTAGCAGCAGGCCAAGTTCAACGACAGATCCGAGATTGTTTGATCCTTGTTGATCAAGTCCTCGTAGACGGTAGCCGCGCGTTTGTAGTCCCCAAGATGGAAAGCACAATATCCCATCCATAGTTCGGTGTCCAAATTACTCCCAGAGCTACTGTTGAACTCCAAAAGCGTCAATGCACCGGTGTAATCACGTTTCTCCAAGAATTCCTCCAACTTTGGTATCTTCTTCTCCGACCCTGACTTCTTCGCACCCTCGGACGAGGCTGGCTTGGATCTCGACAGTATCTGTTACAATTACATTTCGCAGTGAGCATCGAATGAAAATCAAAGAACAGATGTTAACAGTGTTAGAAAATGAGTGAACGAAATTATTTTGCATCTTGGCCACACCGAGAAATTGAAATTAAAAGAGAGAAAAGAAAATACAGCGCACAATGTTTTGTTTACCATTCTTGGTTGCTGGTAGTTACTAGCTATTGATTGCCACGTGCCAATATACTATATTACATGCAGAGTTGGCGTTCGAGATTAAATATTTATTAAATCGTGATAACGTTAATAAATAGCATTGGCAATTAGTTCCCTCGAGATTTTTAAAAATCTTCGAATTTCATTTTTTAAATGAAATTCTGTGCGATCGTCTGTAAACGTTATTAAAGTGGTGCTAACATTTAATCACATTACTCGGAGATAGTCTTTAATTTCGTCTTTTTATTTTTAAACGAAATGAAAAAGAACTGCTTTAACGAAGTCGAACATTTTGATTTAATAAGAGCGTAATTTGGATAAGTTTATCTGCTTAACAAAAATAAATGTAAACGAAAACTCGTTGATATTGTAATCTTCGCGGGGTACTCTTCGTGCTCTTTTTAGTTTTGTGTATACTGTTGCTTAAAAGTACATGGACATTCGCAATTTTTAACGAATATATAACATATATTGAACATAAATTATTCATTACTGAATTTCTTACATACGTATATACTTTGTACCACGATAGAATTATAATGTAATTATTTAAAATAAAGGATTTGAATGATTGAATTATTGAATGTAACGTGTACCATCAGGATACGATAATCACATATTTAAAGAAAATTTATTAAGAGAATCTTTTATTAAGGATATGTCTACCGTGTTATAAAACTCTGGGCAATAGATTTATTATACATACAATGTGTGTTAACAAGTTTACACGGTGCAGAAGAGAAAGGATCCGAGTATTCGAGCACGAAGGTTCATTGGTGTTTATGACAATTTCATAGTCCTCAGCGAGGACTTCTCGCTGAGTGATGAGAGACGGAGAGAAGAGAGAGAGAGATCGCGCGCGTCAGAACACGGCGGACCGTCGTGGAGGTTACATCGCCGGTACTGTTGTTGCATTTATTTTCGTAATGTTGGAAGGTGTCAAGCATATTTTTTTAGTGCTGTCCGGTAAAGGTGGTGTTGGAAAATCAACGGTCAGCACTCAGTTGGCCCTGGCACTCAAGGAATCAGGATTTCGAGTGAGTTATCGAGTATTTTACGTTGGAGTTTTAGGTTAAGTTGCTTACATGTCAAAATATTGTAGGTGGGTTTGTTGGACGTCGATCTTTGCGGACCAAGTGTGCCTTACCTGTTGAATTTGGAAGGCAAGGATGTCCACCAATCGTCTGACGGGTTTGTGCATCAGTTTCTACAAATAATTTGTTGTTTAATAAATATGTGCACTTTCCATTTTTTTTACTAAAAATCGCCACAGTGATTTTTCGAGTATTACACCTTACTTTAGTGAGAAACAATTGCTCGGATTAATTGTTCGAATTTTATTTTTATTGATATACTGTTGCAGTTTGTGCAAATATATTTTTAGCACATTCCCAGACATAGACAATTTTTTCTTGTCAATTTATTTTAAGCATTCGGTTCGATTGCTTAATAAAATTTATGATATTTGTTGGATAGTTTAATTAATACATCGATTGTTGCAGGTGGGTGCCAGTGTATGCGGACAAAGAGCAGAAATTGGCAGTGATGTCAATAGGTTTCTTGCTAAAAAATCAGGATGACAGTGTTGTCTGGAGAGGCCCCAAAAAAACTGGCATGATCAAGCAATTTTTAACTGATGTTGTCTGGCAAGACATTGATTATTTAATCATTGATACACCACCAGGAACCTCGGATGAGCACATCACAGTGATGGAAAATTTAAGGTATATTCAAAATACATTCTTCATTCATTTTTCTATTCATTTGCGCAGGATTAATTTGCCTGCAAGTTTGATTCTTGAAAAACAGAATGTTTGGCACTAAAGTGTCATGTGCTTATGAATGTTCACATGTGACTGTGATTAAGAATCATGTGATGTCCAAACGAAACGTAACTCTACTGAGATAAGCTATTGGTCATGAGATTGATAAGCTCATATATTTTGCTGGAATGCATGCTAGGAGAGGAAATAACACAGTTATTGTATTAGATAATGATTCTACCACTGTGCCATATTATAGCACAGATTTCTCTTTTATGTTTGTCTCGAACGATGGTACACGATTAAATTAATTTGCAGCGATTAATCTAAGCTCCAAAGAAATCATGTTTTTCTTAACAGCTGATAATTAACTGATAAAATCAATCTGTCCCACAGGAACGCGAAATGTGATGGAGCTCTCATTGTAACCACTCCACAAGCAGTCGCTGTAGACGACGTTCTACGAGAAGTAACATTCTGTAGAAAAACAGGCATTCACATATTTGGCATTATCGAAAACATGAGTGGCTTCGTGTGTCCCTCGTGTTCGGTTAGTAAAAGACTTGCTTTCTCTTGTAATCTTTTTATTATCATTCATTATAATAGAAAAATATTAATTTCAGGAATGCACGAATGTATTTTCCGCTGGCGGAGGTATCGCTCTGTCGAGAATGGTAAACGTACCATTTCTCGCCAAAGTACCCATAGACCCACAAGTAGGTAAACTGGCAGAGACTGGCCAAAGTGTTTTGGTAACTTTACCGGATAGCCAGGTGGCCCAAGTATTCCGGAAACTAGTCGAACAACTTACCAAAAGCAAGGAAGCATAAGAGTGAAACCATGGATTCCAACCATACAATACCGTTTTGAAATATAGTACTTGCTTGTGATGTTAAGGGGTCTTCTCGAAAGGGTTGAAAAAGAATTTCTCTTAAATATATATATGTATATATTCTAAAAACAATATAATTCGGAGAAATTGCGCCAAAAAGAAGTTCCAAAAGTTGCATTTTTAATGTTGAAGGAGGAAGATCTCTTAAACTAATCTTTAGCCTTTTGCGAGTCATTTTCATTGTTTTATTATAAGTCATACAAGTCGATTTGAAGATAAAAATATATTTTCCTTGTGGAAAAGAGGAAAGAATATATATACATTATATAATTATATAAAATGGAATCTTAAGTATAAGTATGTACAAATAATTGGGAATCGCAAAAGGTCAATCTAAATGGCGTCCTAAATTATGGATATATAAGTACAAATACAACGAGTAGTTTTACACGATCGCATTTACATGAGGTACATGTTACTAGTTTCTTCTTTGCACTTGTGAAAAATACAGCAAAAAAGTGTATTCGTGTGCGTGGTCAACGATAGCAAAATAGATAACTTTACATAATATTTTGAATACCATAAAAATATGGTGAACCTGTTTGATGCAATAGTCAAACTATATATTTCCATACAAAAATATGTTTCATTTCTTACATTTACTATACATTATATATTGAATCAGCGTTAGCAATAACGCGTAGGAACATTTTTCTTTTTTTGTATAAAAATGTGAATATAAATCGACGTATCGTTGTATTATGAACATACATCGAAACTTTCAATATATATTTTCCTGCTATTTTTGTATGAATCTAGGTAATAGGTGAATTGGAAAATACTTTTTATTCCAATCGCTTTTTGTAAGCAGTCCAAAGTTCCTTCTTATATTCCAACGCGGCAGCTAACTTGTCTTTTGCCTCGGTGATACCTCTACCAACAACAGCTAAATCTGCTCCAGATTTTACAACAGATTCTGGAGTATTGTACTGTTGACCGAAATTGTCGGAACTTTGGCCGAGCTTCACTCCAGGGGTCAGCTGAACGAGACCTGGATTCGTGAATATATTCGACTGACAAACGATGCCAGCGACTATGTTCGAATTTTGTGCGATCGATACTGCGTGCCGAACGTACTCGTCATTTGTTAACGCGCCATTAGAAGACATCTGCGCCAATATAAAAATACCACGCGGTTCGTTAACATTTTCTAACGCATTTTTTAATCCATCTACTATGCTCTTTCCTGCTATCGCATGCACAGTAACAATATCTGCCCATTCCGCAATTTTATAAATACCCTTTTGGTATTGTAAAGACACTGTGTTACCGATATCCGCGAATTTCCGGTCCTCCATTAGAAGAAAATCGTGCTTCTTAGCCAAATCTTGCAAACGCTTTATAAAATCACAGCTGAAGTCTTCTATTATATCTATGTGCGTTTTTAGTACCACAATGTGTGGTCCTACCAAATTGGCTAATTGTAAAATAGAGTCTGCTTTGGTTAAATCTGCTGCCAAGCACAAAGTAGATTCTTTTGTTTCCATGAGATTGAATATTTTAGAGGCAATCTCGTTTGTAGTTTTATTAGCGCGAGAGTTAAATGGTATTTTCAGTCTGCATTCTGGAACTTTAAAAGAAACTATTTAATATTCTATGAAGCAGAAAATGATGCAGTGTAAAATGTTATTTACCTTGATTAACAATAACAGGAGCTTGACATAGCGACAAGTAGTTTAGTACCTCCTTTCTAATCGTTGGTGTAATCTTGTTGGCTTCCACAAGGTAAGCCAACAGACTGGTGACCGAGTACAAACTCCACATGTTTATACCATTAGTTTCGATATTCTTTTTACCACCCTGTTCTCTGTTAATCACTACAAGAGCATCTGTTACCTTCAAACCCTCTTTTCTTAATGTTTGTGCAGTCTCTAGAATACTGCTACCGCTAGTGACTACATCTTCGATGATTACACAATTATCTCCTAATTTGAAATGGCCTTCTATCATTTTCTTTGTACCATATGCCTTTTCCTCTTTTCTTTTGATTAACATGGGGATATTATAATCGACAGATATCAAAGTAGCTAATGGTAAAGCAGTGTAAGGTACACCACAGATCTGAGATATGTTTTCACGGTCCTCCGACAGTCTCCACAGTGCCTTCGCCAGTTGAGCCTTCGAAATATCAAAGAATATAAACAATTTAAAAATTATGAAATAAATGACAGAGTATGCTCAAAAGAATTTTTAAATTACTCATACCATAACTTTTGGATGAGAGATTATTACTCTCAAGTCAAAATACACCGGACTTTTCAAACCAACTTTGGTCACAAATTCTCCAAATTTGATCGCGTCGATCTCGAAAAGTGAAATCGCTAACTTCTTCAATTCTACGTCCATGGCACTCGATTTTTCGCACATGATTTCTGTCTATTGAAATTAAAACACGTGGTCCCTGAAAGCATGATGCACAGAGCGATATTTAAACAATTAAGGTTAACCTGTTGCACATAGCTATTTTTTTATTTCGTATTATATTTCAATCAAGTGTACAGTTCATTTCAGGATAAAAATAAATTATGCAATACGTACAGATTAATAACGTTTAACGTTAAAGATGAGGGATTAGGTTAACTGGCACTGCGTTACTAGAACGGTAGCTTCTCACCTAGGTAACCACGTTTCTGCAGATATCAAAATATAAATACTCCACCTGTGGCAAACAAGTGAAGCTCTCAAACTCTAAAATGGTAGAACTATGGAAACTTTGTAAATAATTAGATTCTATTAAAATTCTTGCCCTCTAAATTCATCCTCAAAGATTGAAATTTCTCCCTCAAAATTGGAAATTCCAAGGTAATATCTTCGCTTGTAAATTTCAATAGGTTTTGAACAGATATAAAAATCCGTAGGGTGTGTTAAGTAAATATATCACGTATATTAATAATATTTCTTTATTTCCTTTAATCAATATTGCTGTTGGTATAAGTGAAAACTCGATGCTCATCGAGATATTTGAGAACCGGTAAAAACGCATTACCGCACCACGTGCGATAACATCAAAAATCCAGTATCTTTCGCTTACAATAGACTTGTTTTATTTATTTCCCCAGCCCCATAAACCTTTAACGAATCCTGTGAGACCGGCCTGGCCGCCCTTCTTGGCTTGGTCTCCCAATTTCTCGCTTAAATCCGGAAACTCGACCATGTTGAAGGCCAAGTCGAAGAACAACGGTTTGCAGGGGATAGGCTGCATGGATGGTGGTAGTTTATAAACGTTGGGTTGCTTCGTTAGAAGCGCTGGGTCTTCTCTGTACTCCTGTAAACGTTCGTACAGCGGTTTCTTTGTCTTAGTATATTTATTGGTGCCAGGTTCTTCTTCTTGCCCTTCTTCTAACACACTGTGCGCATGGGCGGCGTACTTTGCACCCTCAATGGAGGTCTCCAATTTCTGCAGAGCCTCCTTCAATGGCTCGGGAAGCATTTTACCATAATTTAGTGCATCTTTCACATGTTGCGCGGACCTCTGATACAGAGCCATGGCTTCCCTCCATCGGTGAAGATTTGCTAAAGACTGGGCCATGTAATAACATCTAAAGGCCCTATAGCTCTTCGTCTTAGCTTCCTGTTCCCGTACAAACTCTTCATCGTCCTGCAACTGTGAGATCTCAACGAGATTATGCAGAGCTGCTTCGTATAGTCTTACAATGTCCTGTGGCTTCGCTTTAGCAGACTCTTCAGCAGCCTTAATCAGTGCCAGATTCCTCTCCAAGGTACGCGACAATCTAATATATTGTAGGTAGGTGATTAGGTGTTGTGGTGCCGTTAGCTTGTCGTTGTCTTTGTTCTTAAGCTCGTTCTTGAAGAAGTCTCTCACAGCCGAGATCGCGTCTTTACAATCTATCAAGTGTGCTTCCAATAGATCGATCTTAGCTTCATTTGTGGCTGCTTTATCCAACGTTTGATTCAATCTAGAGTCCGCAATTAGCAGACCTGCTGCTCTAGGCGGTACCATACCGCAGGATTTACCGCGCCATGTTACTTCTTCCGTGTTCGACTGTTTCTCACGGGTTTGGGCCATCAAAGAGTCTAAGCTAGCTAACAGCTCTCCGCTCAATTGACCTCGCATTTGCATTAAGTCGTCTATGGCAGTGGTATCTCCGATATTATAAGCGCAGTATCTAAGGCTAGGAGCAAGTTCCTCCACCCTCGCGTTGTACATCACTTGCTCTAGTTCTGGTAGTGCAGAGGCCAGCTTTCCATACACTACCTGAGCTTTCTTCAAATTCTCCATAGCTTTCTTCCATAATTGTAGCTCAAAGTGCAAGGAACCGTGTATCCAGGCAACATAGGCTTGAGCTTCTAGTTTTGTTCTTGCATCGCAGTTAATGTTCTGAAATAAACCAATCAATGAAAATTAAATTGAGTTGGAATGTTTACGTATTACAAATCGTAGAGTCAGTTTATACTACCTCTATCAATTCCTGCAACTGCAGGGAATAAGTAGCAGCTTTCTTTAGTCTAGATATCAAATGAAATTTTTTTCTTGGCTCTGTGTTAGATTCTTGTCTCAACTGCATAGCATAACTCCAAGCACGTTCTGACATCATCAGGGGAACTTGTAGAAATTTGTCGTCGCTAACCATCACAGCAGTTATATCTTTCCTTTTGAAATGGCGTCTATCTCCCTGTGGAACTTTTAATACTTTTCTCAAACGCCTTAGTCTCCTTGAACAATAGCCTCGATACCGTTGGTAGTCTCCGTGTCTCAACCCATGTTGTTGCTGTGCTTCTTTGATGATTTTTAAGACTGTTTAACTGTTAAGGAATCTCAAAAAAAATACTAGATCAAAATTATAGAGCTATAAGGTGCTTCAAATATTTGTGCATTTTATATTCAATAATATTTAGAGCAATTATAGCTGATAAAAAAAAATAAAATGTTAAGTAATACAAATATAACATAGCAAATAAAAAAGCTATTTATTGACAATTATAATTAAACTTAGCGATAAGAGGTGTTATTACCACAAGAAACATAAATTAAAAAATGGTTATATTCATAGATAGGTAGTTTGTATCGCATAGTGATTGTTGATGAAACAATGAAAAAACCTATTTGTATTTTTATTTTGCAGTATTGAGGCGATATACAATAATAATGGGTGCGACATGACAAAGAGAGGTTAGGAAATGACATATGGCAATTACGAAGTATTCGACGCGTGCATAAAACATGTTGGAAAAGGATACTTTCCAGCGAGTACGTCTTCTGTTCCTTCGGACCCGTAGCGTCATTTGCTTGGTTTTCTTTTAACAACTCGATATTCCTTTGCTCGACCACCATCGTCTTGCAACCACGTATTCAATTTTCACCAAGCCTCTGTCGCCACGAACCCGACAATCACAAAATAACTATATGTAGTCGTGCAACACGAAATAATAATGTTAAAGCATATACGGCGGCACATTCAAACACTTTCCGTAAATGTATTCCAACTACAGCAAACACTTTGTAAAGGTCCGTAATTAATAAAATAAATTCTACACAATATTACCTTATTTTTTATTCTCCATTCTCATTTTACCATACTTAAGAATATATAGTACTTGAAATATTTAGAAAACATTACAGTAAGTACAGATAATGATACTAAGAGATTAACGTTATTGTAAAACTCGTAGATATGGTAAATTATTGAGCAATGAACAATTAAAAGTTTACAGTAGATTGCTTTCAATAAATGTAAATTTTTACGAAATTTTCAATACATACTTTAATACACACTTTGGTGACAGTATCGATGGTGATGCCGTTTACACACGCAGCGACGCTATGTCAAATAATTTTCCCTATACCCTTAATGTGTTAGACAAGAAAAGCAGATTTTGCAACAAGGATAGAAACAGCGGCCGGTGGCGCCATCTACGGTGGCGGGTTTGTGAACTAACTTTCCCTATCTCCACCGTGTGTAAGACAAGGACAGAGACAGTGTGCGACAAGGAGAATAGATGTCCCGGTTGTGCCACCAACTTTTTAGACGGACTTCGAATTCCCTGGTAAGTGGTAGGAACACATGATATAGATGGAGGTATCCGACAAGGACAAACTTATGCGTTTTACGGAGCGAGAGAAGGACGCACAGTGAGACTCTCTCTCGACGTATCAATTCGAGGGAAGATTCGTTAATAACTCAATTACCAGGAATAATTTATAAACATTTGCGATTGATGCATGTAGAATGGACCTTCAGCTATTTTCACATATAGTTTTTGATCATATTTTATGCGTTATTAGAGAGTTATTAATTAATTTTGACAAGCAGTATCCCCGCGTGACCTCAAAAAATTAAACATCGTTCTACAAATAATTATTTTTCTGACTTTACAGGCACCATTTGTGATTCTTTATAATCGAAGAATGTAGAATGGACTTCTAGCAACACACCAATCACAAATTTAATCACATTTGGTCCATAATTAATAAGTTATTAACAATTTTTGCGCGGGAGTATTCTCCAATCCTATCGCCGTAACGGTTCAGACAAGGACAGGTAGATGGCGCAACAAGGATGGCAATAGTCTGAACGTGCCAATAACTATGTTTCCTACGGCTCCTGATACTATTCTATCAGAAGGTGTATAAAAGAGAGTTAGTGGCACGGAAAAGGTATTTCTGTCTTTGTCGCACATTCTACCTTTCTCTGTCTTACACACAGTAGGCACTATACCGATAAACATGCCTTCCAAAAATCACTAATTACTCATTAATTATGCATAAAATCTCAACAAAATTGTAATGAGAAGTTAGCTAAGACTTCACTTTACATTCTTTTAACGTAAAGGTGCGTAAATTGTGGTTGCAAAACCAATTAAACAATGGTTTTCAGAGAGCGTATTTAACTCTTTAATGTTATGTCGGAACATTGCATCCAAAATTTATTAATAACTCTGTTTAGCATGACAATTTATACACTTTTGTGATTGAAGACTCTAGAGTGGACTTCTGGCGACTTTCACGATACGTTTTGGATCACAATTTGTTCGTCGTTAGGTATTTATTAACATTTTTCAAAATAACCGTTACGATGTATTTTCAAATAATTTGACATTGCCTCAGAGAATAATTAATTTTGCCGTTTTACAAACACAATTTATGCATCTTTGTATCCAAAGAATCTAGAGTGAAGTCTCAGCTAAATTCCTGTTATAATTTTGTAAAGATCCGACGCATAATTAATGGGTTATTAACAATTTTTGGAAGGCATGTTTATCGGTATAGTGCCTACTGTGTGTAAGACAGAGAAAGGTAGAATGTGCGACAAAGACAGAAATACCTTTTCCGTGCCACTAACTCTCTTTTATACACCTTCTGATAGAATAGTATCAGGAGCCGTAGGAAACATAGTTATTGGCACGTTCAGACTATTGCCATCCTTGTTGCGCCATCTACCTGTCCTTGTCTGAACCGTTACGGCGATAGGATTGGAGAATACTCCCGCGCAAAAATTGTTAATAACTTATTAATTACGAACCAAATGTGATTAAATTTGTGATTGGTGTGTTGCTAGAAGTCCATTCTACATTCTTCGATTATAAATAATCACAAATGATGTCTGCAAAGTCAGGAAAATAATTATTTGTAGAACGATGTTTAATTTTTTGAGGTCACGCGGGGATACTGCTTGTCAAAATTAATTAATAACTCTCTAATAACGCATAAAATATGATCAAAAACTATATGTGAAAATAGCTGAAGGTCCATTCTACATGCATCAATCGCAAATGTTTATAAATTATTCCTGGTAATTGAGTTATTAACGAATCTTCCCTCGAATTGATACGTCGAGAGAGAGTCTCACTGTGCGTCCTTCTCTCGCTCCGTAAAACGCATAAGTTTGTCCTTGTCGGATACCTCCATCTATATCATGTGTTCCTACCACTTACCAGGGAATTCGAAGTCCGTCTAAAAAGTTGGTGGCACAACCGGGACATCTATTCTCCTTGTCGCACACTATCTCTGTCCTTGTCTTACACACGGTGGAGATAGGGAAAGTTAGTTCACAAACCCGCCACCGTAGATGGCACCACTATTTGCTATTGCTTCTTCCCGCGTACTCTACCGCTCAATGTCGTATACTGTGTTATATTACTTCCAAAAATCGTTAATAACTTATTAATAAAGCATTAAATTTGAAGAAAATTGTAATAAGAAGTTAGCCAAGACTTCGTCTTATATTCTTTTAACGTAAAGGAGCGTAAATTATGACTGCAAAACCCATTAAACAATCGTTTTCTGAGAGCGTATTTATCTCATTAAGGTTTTGTCGAAATAGTGCTTCCAAAATTTGTTAATAACTCTTTATAGCATAACAATTTATACACTTTCATGATTGGAGAATCTAGAGTAGACTTCCAGCGACTTTCTCCATACGTTTTGGATCACAATTTGTTCGTCGTTAGCAGTTTATTAACATTTTTCAAAATAACCGTTACGATGAAAATTCACATAAATTGATATTGCCTCTGAGAATAATTAATTTTGCCGTTTTACAAACACAATTTATGCATCTTTGCATCCAAAGAATCTAGAGTGAAGTCTCAGCTAAATTCCTGTTATAATTTTGTAAAGATCCGACGCATAATTAATGAGTTATTAACAATTTTTGGAAGGTATGTTTATCGGTCCAGTGCCTACCGTGTGTAAGACAGAGAAAGGTAGAATGTGCGACAAAGACAGAAATATCTTTTCCGTGCCACTAACTCTCTTTTATACACCTTCTGATAGAATAGTATCAGGAGCCGTAGGAAACAAAGTTATTGGCACGTTTCAGACTATTGCCATCCTTGCTGCGCCATCTACCTGTCCTTGTCTGAACCGTTACGGCAATAGGTTAGAAGAGTACTCTCGCGTAAAAATTGTTAATAACTTATTAATTACGAACCAAATCTGATTAAATTTATGATTGGTGTGTTGCTAGAAGTCTGTTCTACATTCTTCGATTATAAAGAATCACAAATGGTGCCTGTAAAGTCAGAAAAATAATTATTTGTAGAACGATGTTTAATTTTTTGAGGTCACGCGGGGATACTGCTTGTCAAAATTAATTAATAACTCTCTAATAACGCATAAAATATGATCAAAAACTATATGTGAAAGTAGCTGAAGGTCCATTCTACATGCTTCGATCGCAAATGTTTATAAATTATTCCTGGTAATTGAGTTATTAACGAATCTTCCCTCGAATTGATACGTCGAGAGAGAGTCTCACTGTCTGTCCTCTTCTCGCTCCGTAAAACGCATAAGTTTGTCCTTGTCGGATACCTCCATCTATATCATGTGTTCCTACCACTTACCAGGGAATTCGAAGTCCGTCTAAAAAGTTGGTGGCACAACCGGGACATCTATTCTCCTTGTCGCACACTGTCTCTGTCCTTGTCTTACACACGGTGGAGATAGGGAAAGTTAGTTCACAAACCCGCCACCGTAGATGGCGCCACCGGCCGCTGTTTCTATCCTTGTTGCACAATCGGCTCTCTTTTGTCTGACGTATTATAGAGATATGGAAAATTATTTCAGGAATTTAGCACATTAAATACGCAAATCTCAGGCTTGAATCCGGTCTTTAGAAGCTTTCTAGTGAATCAAAAATTTCATTCACTGTCTTGTCACTGTATTTGCTTGTTTGTTAATTAAGATAAATATTAATTCAGTCACTATTTATCAATTTGTGCTACTTATAAATTTTGCAAGAAAAATTTGGAACATAACAGCAGTACAAATTAATAATAAATTTGCAAGCCGAATATTTTTATTTTTCTTGATTCGTAATTGTAAGATGGAATATACGGGGTAGAATAAAATAACGCATAAATTGTCGCAGGAAATAGTGTTTATTTTTTTCCAAATAAAATACATCGTTGCAATATTAAATTTGTACATAACAAAAAAGATGTAAGAACATAGAAAAGGAGGAAGTGTAGGCCTCTCAATTAAATACTAGGGCCCAGTAATCTGCATAAAACACATGACGCAGATCATTATCGTTTCAATATAGGATTTGATTGCAAATCCGTATAGTCGAGTCGATGAAACAATGCGCGTGCAAGAATGCCAAGGGTACAGGTGTATTGTTATCCATACCCCTTTGTTCATCGACGGAAAAGACAGAAAGGAGAAATTTGACGATCCGGAAACGCATATCCATTCGACGATCACTGTAGTGCGACTACTTTACTCTGACTGTTTTGGGCAACGAAGCTGCACTCAACCAAAACTGCTTTACATTTCATTTTCAGAAAACTTAGTGAACACGCGTACATCCTCGCAGTGTTCAGTTTCCCCAGAAACTACAATCTCAGCTCTGTAAACTTGTTAAGAATTCGTTTCTGTCTTTTTTGTCTTTTCGCCGTCCTCGTGGATTTTCTAGATCCCGAAGATCCACGAATTCCTGTGTCGCGCGCGCAGGTGGAAGAGAAATGCTCGGAGAATGCTTTCGCTCGCCTTCGCACCTCTCTCCGCGGCCTGCTCGCATCGTGATTCCGTAACGGAGCGAAAGTAAAGCCGTGAGCTCGGGTTCTCTCTATGACGGTCAGCAAGCAATTATCGTTCCACCTGGGCGGTTGGATTTCATCTCCCGAAACACGTTTTCGTTTCAAGGCCAAGGACACGCCCGAGTAGTAGTAGAGGGAGGTCAGTGTTCGGCGCTGTCGATCTTTCCTCGCGTTACCCGGCCCGATACCCTATCGACAGCCAACACAGAGACGAAATCCCACGACCGAGGATATTCGCGCAACCCATGCAAACCTTTGGCGCAATAGATCGTCGCGATCTATTCCGATTGGCCGCTCGGAAAACAAATGTTCGCTCTGTCCTACTCGGCTGTCTCTCTAAAGTATAATAAATGCGCGAACTAATTCGTGGCATCGCATCGTCGTTGCAACGTCTTGCCGCCGTATAACGGAGAAGCTATCTAATTTTTTCGGTGTCCCGAACGAGGGCTAATCAAAGGTCAATGCGAAGCGACGTCAGCCTTTCGCGGACGCAAAGGGCAGACGAACTGATTTACGCGAGCCGACCGGCCGCCATCGAGGAATTATTCAATTCGGGCTCGGTCTGGCTCTCGTTTTAATTGGTTAAACCGTCGTGTCGCGTCCGCCTTGCTCGCATATTCGCCTGGCACACGGCTGAAATCGAATTCAACGGAACGCTGGCCGACGACGCGTTGCATCATCGATACGGTTTCATTAATTAAGAACATCTTGCGGTCTTCGAACAATGGTGCCCGTATCCCTGAGCCAACCTGGCCTTGCGCTTTGAATCCGAAGCGAACGCACGGCACGGCACGGCGCGGCGGTAGATTCTAAAATAACTTGTCACGGCTAAGAAAAGAAGTGATTTAAGGGATGATTAATGGTATCGATCGTCTTGATCCGATGCAAATCTACGCGCACGTGCCGCGCGTCGGCCTCCGATCCTCGAAAAGACACCGAGCCAGACATCGACTCAAGGCCCGATCGCGTAAATCCGATAATCCGCTACCGATGCAACACTGGCTTCCGGTAGCGACACGCCAGAGTGCATCATCGATATTCGATCGTCCTTTAACACAGATTTACGGAGCATAAAAAAGCTGCTGTTTTATATCAGTTTGTAAAAGCAACGATAAGACGTTTATTCTGATTTTGAAGAAGCGTTATTGTAACATTTGCCGTAAGTAACATATAAATTGAATAAATAACTCATTTCAGACGCTCAGATTATCCACTAAATCGGATAATTTGGGGAGAGAAGATACGATTATTCGAGCCTTGCGGCTCGTTTTCATAATTGTGGACAATTTATAATTATAAAAATATACCGCAAAGCTCGAATATAATCGTATCTCCTCTTCCCAAATTGTTCATTTTTGTGGTCAATCTGGGCGTCGATTAGACAGACATTGCTGCAGCGACCCGTCATTTCAACGGGTTCCGTAAATCTAGTGTTAACAAATCGTTCGATCGCCCGAACGGAAAATACAGAATTCTCGATCACAAGATTCGCACAAGCGCTATCGATACGTGCCGTTTACATTTTGTCATTTTATCGGACAAGCATTATTGCGCAACTTGTCGTATCGCATTGTTGACCGGCAATTGTACAACCTCTGGGCATAGGAACACGAGTTAACTCGTGACCGGTCATCGATGCGTTGACACTTCCATCTTACATACTTTGATACAGATAACCGAATAAAGTAAATGCTCCCTAATCGATTAGGAGATACGATTATTCGAGCCTCGCGACTGGTTTTTTATAGTCGCCGATCGCCAATAATTATAAAAACGAGCCAGGAGGCTCGAACAATCGTATCTTCTCTTCCCAAATTGTCCATTTTTCTTTACAAACTGAAGGCAAATTGGCGAGAATTTACTGTGACAACTCTCCGGTAATATAATAATAATATAATAATAATACATAATAAAGAATTTACTGTAATAACTCTCCGGCGACTATGTTGAACGAATTAGGAACGAAGAAAGGCCAATCGGTTTGCAAGAAGTACGTTCGAAAACGAATAAATTATTGCACTTGGTTTCGACAATTTCGGTACACGAAACGTCTTCCTAAAATTCTCAGCCAATTTTCGTCCCTTCGATGTCTCGCATACGAATGTATGCCGCAACGAAAACAAAGATCTGCCATTGTTCTCGAATCGAGATCTTGTTTTTCGCAGTTTCCGGCGCGAACAATCGGGCAGCGGCGATGCTGCCGGAGCAGAGCCGTGAAAACAACCGAACCGGGAGCTTATCATTTCGCGATTACTCGAGCGATTAGTCGTGGAAACGTCGCACACGGTCTGTTGCACGTCGTCGCGACACAATTGGGCGAAACCGAGCGGCCGAAACGATCGGTCTCGATCCGGGGGATCCAGGATCGATTCGCTTTTCCCGCGGATCCCGCGACCGTCCGCGGTGTATCGGATGTGAATGGTCCACGATACGATCGGCAACGCGCGTCGGTCGTGGTAGATAAAACCGGACCTGCATTCAGTGAGTAACGAGTCTTCGAGTGGCAGTTCTGCCGGCTGCACAGCACCGTCGAGAGTGACTTTTACCGTCGGAACTGGACCAGGCTGCGGATAGTTCGTCAACAAGACTCCGTAGTAAACAGATCGATTCTCCGACGAGCTCGTTCCCAGCGTCTGAAAAGCCCAAGGAAACGGTTAGCGAATAAATCCGAATAAATAGACGCTTTTATACACGCGAATCGGCAGCAGAAAAATTCGCGCGTTACGTACGGATCCCGGTCAATGTCTCCGGTGGTTTTCACTCGTGAAATCCGAGCGGTGCGAGAGAGCCAGAAGCCGAAAGGCGCCGTTGATCGCGGGGCTTGCCAGAAAAATTGCGGTTGAAGCTTGAGCAGTGGGACGAGTGTATGGACCGTGAGTCGTGGGAAAGGATCGATTAATCCGTTAGCCGGGCAGCGCAGAGAAAGTGAATCAGTTTGTAGGAGAGATTGCAAGAATTTTATTACGAATCGAAGATCTAACGTTATTCGCTCTCGAGCTGATCGCGACGTAACTTAACGCTGTGATATTGCCGAGACGCGCGCAGAAATTTTCGGAAGCATCGAACGTGGATAAGTTCTGATGCAATTCAGCTGGGAATCGCGCAGTCTTCTGTCCGAACAATAGAGCGAGAGATTCTCGAGAAAAATAAATCTTTTGGAAAGGATCGCGAATTGAAATTTCCCGTGGTCCGGCCCGGTTAACAAGTCGAAGGAGTTGGACTCGGAGGGTAGGGGATCTTCGATGACGGTAACGCAAGTCTCGTTTCAGATTCATGGGAGACGGTGTTGCGGGAGTCGACGGATCAATCTGACGGCGCTTTGGCCTGCGAAGGCGTTGGTTGGCCGCTTTCGTAGAAGGTCTTGTTCGATCACTTCGGCGAGTATTTGTCGACGGTGTTCTTGTTCGGCTTGCCGGAGATACCGCAGTGGGAGGAGGAGCTCCGCAGGCGTTCTGGAAGCGAAAGAAAAAGTTTCAACGCCGTGGCACGTGTATCAGCGGTGTGACGGAAAGGAAAAGGGAGAAAAACGCACTGCCGATTCGGTTCCTTCTCGATGCTGGATTACGAACGTTATCGCGGGAGAAGTCAGAGGTTCGTGGAAAGGGCGAGACCGTCGAGTGCTCGATTCAAAACCGGTGTCAAGGCCGCTAGATAAAAGCCGATCGATAACAGCCGGTCGATCCGACGATCGCGCTAATTGTCCGAATACTCGACGTTCCGACGCAAGGTTTCAGAAAATTCCGTCGGAGGATTAAGATGAGTATCGCGCAGGGAATGAACAAGGCGCACGGGCACGCGGAGAGCCAGCCCGAGACCAAGGTAACTCGTTATCTATCGAATAACCCCCTCCTGTCGAAAAAGAGCACCACCGCCGCTTTTATCAAATGCTCCTAATCCGTTTACGCGTTGTTGGCTTTTGTCTTTGCGCCGCGGTAATCGACTACTGTGCTGCAACGACGACGGACGATTTGAACACGAATTTCAAACGTTTACCGTAGCAAAGAGATTAACTCTTGTTGCCGCAGCGAATTCTCCCAAATTTTCCTTCAGCTCGTAAACAAAAATGGAGATACGATTATTCGAGCCTCGCGGCTCATTTTTATAGTCGCCGATTTGCCAATAATTATAAAAAAGCAAGGCTCGAACAATCGTATCTCCTCTTCCCAAACTGTCCGCTTTTGTTTACAAGCTGGAAGGAAGATCAGGGAGAATTTACAGTACAGGCCATATATTCGCTCGTGCTTATATTATTACTGGATCCCGGGGATTTTTATGCATTTATGGTAAAATCGAGTAGTCGCGATTTAAGAACACTAGAAAGAACTACGAAAATTTCAAAATATCAATGCGTTGCTTTCAATCTGTTGAAATGATTAAAGAAAGAGCGAACTTGATAATACAGTTTCTAATTCTTGCAATCGATGCGTAGAAATTTGATTTCTCATAAACATCCGCAATCTAGTTATTACGCGATAATCGCGCGGTTCGATGTCCAAGAACACGGCGGTTCGGTTATTGGGAAAGCTCGTGAAATATTATCGCGATTTTTAATTATCGCTCCAGCGATAATGAACTTCTTCGGATACTAAACAACAGCCGCGTCACAGTTTCGCAGCGAGTCGTCGCGGTAACGAGAACGGCTTCCACGCACCGATGCGATTAATAATTAATTCGAACTGTCGTTTTCGATGTTGATTTATAGATGGAGATCGACGCGGAGGAACGAAAGCGACGGGAGAAGAAAGGAGTCACTTATCAGGTAAAAAGAAACAGTTGATTCGATCTACAGTAATGTCTCTCTAATCGACGCACAGATTGTGCAGCAAAATGGACAATTTGGGAAGAGAAGTTTTTATAGTTGTTCACGATCGATAACCATAAAAAAAACGAGCCGCAAGACTCGAACAGTCGTATCTTCTCTTCCAAAATTGTCCATTTTTGTGGTCAATCTGAGCGTCAATTAGGGAGACATTACTGTATTCGGTGAATCGTGAGGATCGGATTTACGAGTTATGATTTACGGCATCGATGCTCGAGCAGGAAGTGGTTCATTTTGGGGTTTTCGCTTTCCGATATCGCGTTTCGCTGGTACAACGACGGATCGGCACGTGAATAATAATCGAAAGGAGATAAAAGTAACGAGAATTGCGCCTCTAAGTGAAAACCAATGAAAATTCGTCGATCTCTCTGTCGACGTCTCCGTGAATCGTTTTAAACACTTGTTCAAATGATCGCAGATGTATTTTCGTTCGTCGTTAGCCCGCGAACGTTAACAGCTGCTGTTAGATATCGTCGCGTGACGGAGAGTTATCATCGATCCCGAGCAGAAAAGCTCCGACCGGCACTCATATTTTCGTGAATTAAGAACCGCGAAGAATGGTTTCTGTGTCCGGCGAGCGGAGACGATTGCATTAATATCGGAGAGCCGAGATGCTATTAACGTCAAGAAAGCTGTGAACTTTGACTGTTTCACAATTGGATTATCGACGTTGGTAGTCGGTTAGAGCCTCGAATTTATTTGCCAAGAACGCATGGAACTAGTTGGAAAATAATTGTAACTCTTAACCGAGCGACTTATCTCGATCCGACGACCTTCTGACACCAGCTGATTCGACGTTCCGTGATCGATTTCTGTACGTTACTTCGCCGAGGTATCCGACTCCTATGGTTTCCGAAGAACCAATGGAAACGGGAGTTCATGGACACAACCGTAATCTATTAATGATCGAAGAAATTAGCCAATCAACGGGCCCATCGATCATCTTCGCGGTTGCGCGACAAATCCGCGGACTCCGAAATGATCTCCGAGCCGCGAAACGGTAATTTCTTAATCGCGCGATAATCGACCACGGGGGAAACGTAAGCAGTGTTCAAAGGATTCTCCGAGTCGACCGAAGAATTCCGGGCATTCTAATCGCCCGATTACAGATCGCCGGGGGCGAGTTGTTTACAGAACTCACTTAAGAAAGCGTCGCGATGCATTGTCGACAGACGCGGAACGAAAGGCTCGAGTTGTCTTTTACGCCTCTTACGAGACGAAAGAAAGAATTCGAAGATTAATCGTATGGGTAATAAATTACATGTACCGGAGACTAATCCCGGTCGCTAATCACGCGCATTATTTCCCCGTGACTTGCGTCGGTTGCATAATTACTGCCTCCGGTCGTTGGCGCAGCTTTTGTTCTTCGAAAGTGAATCGGTCGTCGAACAAATTCGAAAGGGGAGATAATTGGAGAATAGGAAACTCGCACGATAAACTTTCTTGTAAGAACGTACAATACCGCGCAGTCCTCGTCTACGGGAACGTATCTTAAAATCCGTCTGAACTTTTCCATTTAAATCTTGTAAACCCCGCGATATCGGAGTACGTTCCCTTTTAATTTATCAAAACGATCTCGTCATCTATCGCAATCTAATCTATACCATGTTAAAGTAGGCACTACAAGCTTTCGTTTAAGCTAAGTTGCATGGATATAGCCCCGCGAGAACATATCTCAAAATTCATCTGAACGATCGCTTCGAATTCTTGTAGTTTTCCTAGCTTTTCCCAAGGTGTCGAAGGTCCGCGAACGGACGACTGAGAACCGTTGCGAAAAATCCTAATTACTAAATATGTAGTTTGCGAAGACATTGAGCTTCACGACGGCAAGCAGCTTTGCGATTGTTCGAGGTTAAATTTTAATTCGACGACACAAGAAAGGATTCCGGCTCTTGTCTCGGGGGATTAGAGCGGATTCCCGAGCGGCACGGTGGCATTAGTGGGAGATAACGAGAGAGAAATGCGGCGAATTGCAGAGACAGAGGTGGACGCGGACTTATTAGAAAGATTTGCGTAACTCGAAACATCGTGATATTATCGAACGCTTAACGCAGCTTTACGTAAACCGCTCGGTGACACTTCAAGGCTTAATTTAATTATTTCTCGGGAACGTGTTGCTCGTCTTCTCGGACGAGAATCGATCCTCCGAAACCGGTTTTCGATATTGGTCAAAGAAGAGGAGGCCTAACGACAGGGAGAGGGTTGATCGGGGGAAAAAGTCCCCCGGATTGATTGCATTTTCGTATCATCTCGTACAGCCGATCTTACTAATATCGTCTATCCGTCTTCTACCCCTTTCGATTCGATGACGCTCTCGTCCGGAACGCGGTACCAGAAATCCTCCGGTATTTTTATGGTCCACGTTCTCCGATCGGATTCATTATCCAACACACTCGGAACGCGAGGAATAATTCGAAACCACGTTTAACAGTGCTCGAAGCAACTGTAAATCACCGAAACGTCAACGCGACCGACGCAATTCGTTACTGTACTTTGCCTTTGAAATGTTCCGCGATAGAAAGGAAAGAGCGCTCGGATTTCCCGCGAACGCGCTAAAAATCCACGATCTAATATCCAACATCGAAGCGGAAACGATCGATCAAGTGTTTTCGAAAAATGCGAACGTTTCTAGTGGCTCCATTTAGTATCGAGGCTCGAGAGAAATTTATCAGAAGTGTTCGAACCAATACAGATATCGATCGCGAAGTGGATCGACGTGCCCGTAAAAAACTTTCCGCTCGTAATCAGGAAAGATCGACGCAATTGCAAGCTTCGCTCGCGACGCTTCTTTTCTAATTTCCAGCGCTCGTTCTCCAACACAAAAGACGACTCTCGTCACCGTCGAGTGTACCCTTTGTTTCTTGTCGACACGCGAACACGCTTCTCAGCCGATATCCCAACGTCGGATCGCTAATTGACAATTAGAACGTCGATGATTTACAGGATCGCGGGCGATTCCTTGATCCTGCTGTCGGCAGGATTACGAGATCGAGGAGCTTTATGTAACATGGAAATGTCGGCGCGTTGCGCGAGTACCTGAAAAGCTTACGACAACGTAACCTCAAGGTTCCCGTTCCGAATAAATTACGTCGACCATTCGAATTCAAGCTCCGCTCGTCGACCGCTATAAGAAAGATCGAACCGCTGAAAATCGCCGTCTACGATTATTTACGCACTCATTGTTGACAAGTGTTCGGTCGATTATCAGGGAATCGAGGAACGGTCGATGATTTTATCTCGTTGAGTAACTTCGACGGTAACAATGAATCACCTCAAGTAATGTTTCCTGTGGGAAGTAGATCGAATCATTTTTCGTGACGATTGCAACAACGTTCGTCGAAGCGGCCCTCTCGATGCGCATTAAACAGCTGATCGAACAGCTGATTAAACCAGCCGATCGAACTACCGATTAATACGACGTGATCTTTTCTACGTTCACGGGGAACTTCGTGAAATATTCGGACTGAGATTTCAACTGGACTGCGATCTCTCTGCGATCACAGTTATATAGGAAATCCTCGTTTTCTTTCTAGCAATGCAAAGACAGAATAAACTGTTCCGCTATTCTGACTTTCGCGAAGCGATTTAAGAAAGACAATGGGAAAATTGACGTGCTTGTTTTTTCAGATACTAATGGCAATCTGCGCAAATTCATCCGTGTTGGGCCCATCTATGGCATTCGGTTACAGTGCCGTGGTACTCAGACCACTACAAGAATACATGGGCGAGATGAAAGTAAACGGTATTCAAGCTAATTGGATAGGTCAGTGCTACTTCTTAGTTTAATCTTATTTGAAAATAAGGCCGCACATTCTTGTCGAGCGTTTCACAATACTTAATCTTAGTCGAGTTATATAGTCGAATGCACGTACCTCTTTCGAACCAACTTTCCCACGGAGTCGACAAATTTACAGGTTCTTTCGATAATCATCCTCAGCATCCTCAACATCCTTATCGTCCACAAATTTCAATTTCCTAAATGGCAGGCAACGTTCCAGAATTTCTACCGCAGCAGTCGGTCACTGAGAACAATCGGCCGATAAAAATCAGCTTAAAGATAGATATCGCGTCGAGAAGAAATGAAACTACTGGGTTTACCGTGCAACTGACACTGTGATTATTCATTCACAGCGACGGTGACTGCGCTGGGAATTCCTCTCGGCTGCATTCTCTCCAGTTACACCATGAGACGCGGAAGGAAACTGAGCCTGCTGATAACGTCCGTGCTCTCGTTCCTAGGCTGGCTCGTCATATACTTCTCCGCGACGTACCAGCAGATCCTCGTCGGCAGAATAATTTCCGGTATCGCGACCGGTTCCGCCTCGGTACCGGCGACTGTTTACTGCGCGGAAATCGCCTCGCCTGACTGGCGACCCGCCATGGTCACCTGGACCAGCATATCCATCGCCATCGGAGTCCTCATCGTCTATGTCTTCGGCTACATCTTCCAGGTAAAAGGAACTCACCTGCAACGAACCGGCGACGCTAGCGCAAACCTCGATTTCAAACGACATTACTCTCGCGCGACGCTTTCGTTCCGACGATCGTTCGAGGAAAATAGGAATGAACGCTTCGACTGCCACGCCAGCCATCTTAAAAATATCATGAAATTCGAGTAGTTTATTCGATCGAATGAAACTTGAAAAGTCGATCGAACGATACGAATTGCTCAACGTCAATTTCCTGAAGTTTCGCGGATCCTAATAAAATTAGGAAGATACGATAGATCGGCGTGCGAAAAAAAAACGAATTTTCAAATCCGAGCAGATTATTTGGTCGTCCGCGCCCGCGTGACGTGGCAGTCGAACAAATAAATTCTCCGGGGAGAAAGTAAATGTCGGTCGCGACCGAAAGCAATCTCTCGATCGAACGAGACCAAATTTAACACGTTCGCTACCATCGTCGCACGCGACGTTCACGATTCTATATATCGCATTGTTCACACAAATTGTTGCACAAAGTCGTCGCGCATACCACGGCGTCTCCAGAAGTCAATGAGTTTCGTTTACCAGCACGTTGCGTAAAAGTTACGTTGCATTCGATAATCGGGATGAAAGAACGAAAAAAAGAACAGCTGGTAGCGAGCGTGTCGAG